GGGACATTTGGGGGGCTGGTGCCCTCTGCAGACGCGGACAGGGATCGCAGGGAGCAGCGCCCGGTTTGTGCTGGGAAAATCCGCCTGGATCACCGAGTCCCTCCATCCCCCAGCGCTGCCGAGGCCACCACGAACCCGTGTCCCAGGTCCCCATGTCCCCACACCCACAGGGCTTTTAAAACCCTCCAGGGACGGTGACTCCACCGCTGTCCTGGGCAGGGCTGGACAATCCTTTCGGTGAGGGAATTTTCCCTGATATCCACCCTGAACCTCCCCTGGCCGGGAGAAGAGCCCGAGCCCTGCGTGCCTCCACCCTCCTTTCAGGTGGCTGTAGAAGGCGCTGTATAAAACATGGATCTCTGCCTTACAATTTTTACTCAAATAAACATATTTGACAGCCAGAAACCCAGCAGCTGCCATAATGCCAAGAGAAGTGACTAGGACTAAATGACAATCTGATCCCAGATTTGATTTGGCTTTCTTACACCCTTACAGAAGTACAATGGAATACGAGGAGGTGAAGGAAAATAAATCTGCTTAATTCCCTCCAAATTACTTCTTGCTGCTGTAAAGCAAAATTCAAGTTAGATGGGAGGAGATTGCAACAGAACCTTTACCTGCATCAACCAGAACTGTCAGAAATACTTTTAGGGAGAAAAGCACCACAGCAAGCCAAAACATCAAGCGCCTTTGGTTTAGGCTCTGACCATGCTCATGTGCCTCCAGAACCACCCTCACCCACAAATACAAATCTTCTATTTTCACACAGATAGTGGCAAAGAAAAACCCTGTGGGGCTGCATCCATTCCCCATGCCAGCCCATGCAGGAACCCAGCTGGGTTCTGCTGGGCTCTGCTGAGGGACATGTCACCCCTCAGGAAGGGCTGTCCCCAGGGCTGTGACCCTGCAGATGGATTAAAGACTCCGAGATGTGGCTCCAGCGGGTGACCAAGCTGGGACATCCTCATATCCTCCTCCAGGCATCCCCTGGGCTCCCTTCCTTCACCAAGCACCCCAGGAAGGTGCTGCAGAGAGGCTGCCCAGGGTGGGTGGGCACCGTGGCCACGCCATGACAGGGAGCAACAGTGCAGAGGTTTGCACGTTTCTCCCCTTTCAAGTCTCTTTTTACCACTATAAATTCCATTACTTTGAATTTTGTGAAAGCCTTCAGGATTTATTTTTTTTTCCAAGCCAGTTATAAAAAGGACATTGGAATTACAGTTCCAGTGCTAACAATAGCATTACTCAAAGCTGCTGCCGAGAAGTAGGGAGCTCTGGATAGAATAAAGACCTAAACTAAAATGTCAATATTAACTCCTTTTTTTTCTCTCCCTGTCTTCCAGCCCACACAATCTGCTTGGGTCCCTCTATCTTAATGAGCATTAAAATGGTTTCAAATTAGATCTACAGAAAATTGAATTTTTTTCCCCTCAGAAGCTTAGTCTGGCCTTTCAAGGCCACTGATGATATTTTGGTTTTGTGTAAGAGCATCTTTGATCTCCAAAGCTCTCCGCTCACAGAGAGACACGGCTCATTACCAGCAATTTGTTGCTGTTGAAATGCAAGTGGAGAGAGAGTCAGGGAGAGGTTTGGCTGGGGGGTCTTTGGCCCCAGACCCCACTAGCCCCCTGTGTCTCTCCTGGCCCAAGCCTGGCCCCCAGGCTGGCAGGTGGGTGGTCGCCAGGCTGGTCCTGGATTTGCAGCCAGCTGCTCTCAGCTTG